TTTTCTTTAGGGAAGCCTTCTCCATTCGATAAGACAATTTCTTCATAGGGGACTCATTATGTCCTCTACGACCTTTCTTTTGGTCTAGGTCGTCTCTTCACCCTTTATCTCAAGTGTACAAGGCGAGCTACCCATTTTTAATCAACTCTTCAATTGCATCCTTTAGGTGGATGCATTCATTAGTATCATTATCATGACTTTTATTGAAACTAAAGTACTTTGATTTATCAATCTTTACTGATTCCCTAACTAGAAAGGGGTTTCTGATCCTAACCTATTTGAACATATTGTTTTCAAATTCTTGCTGGATTTTATCCCTTGATGCATTTAGAAGAGTGTATGCAGAAAATTTGGGTTCGTCATCGCTCCCTGTCATCTTTGCAATAGTTACAATCCTTCTTTGGAGCCCAACCATGTCTGGTGTTTCTCGCTCATTGGGAATTCTCTTAAGATATGAGATCTTATTTATATTTAATGTAGCATTATGCCATATTCATCATGCCGTATAAACTACAAGCTCCTTATAACACCAGTTTTTCTCTAAACATGTAGTCTGATCTCAATCCCTTTTTGAAGATCCAACATTTTAGTCAATCGATTGAACCTCCTAACTCTACTACTACCTTAGTAAATTTGTACATGTACTCACACATATTTTATTTCTTCTTTTGTATGATCCTGCTAAGTATGGCCATGATAATAAGTTGACGCCTTCAAGTAGTGAGCATATAGCTTAGTTCCTTCAACGGATCTATGCTCCCGCTTGGGAGGGGTTTTAACAAAGTCTTGGCACCTACCTTAAGGGTTAATGCAAAGAGGTTACACTTCATGACTTTCCGAGTGTGGTAGTAATACATTCTGTTGTTGACATGTTTGATATGTTTATCTGAATCCCCAATGTCATCATAACTTTCTAGATTTAAGGGTTTCTCAAGGGATGTGGAATCCTTATGTCAACAACGGTGCAAAGAATAGGTTCCTTTTCTACTCAAAGATCGGTTATATGTGTTACACCTTTCCTTATTTTTTAGGAGTAGCGTGCTAGTGAGCTATTAGGCCAACAAATCTCTGGTGGAATGTGACTATCACCCCCCCTCGGAGTCAGGTGAGGGACTACGATGTCTTCTACTTCTCTTACAAATTGGTGACCTCAAAACTTCTCTATGTGGCAAGTTTGTATCTATTAGAGTAGAATGTCGTATGACTTTGTGGTTGTCGTGTAATGCTGCCTCGCATGTAGCATTAACTTGTATAGGAGTGCTTTGTAAGTTCTTTTCAATTTGAAGTATCATGTTAGCCATGGCTTGGAAATTTTGGCGTTGTACCAGGTTGTAGACAATATTTAGTAGGTTGGTTTCTCCTTGCACTTTTATGTTGACTTGTAGTTGTTGAATGTTCCATAGCATGTCGTGTCCAGGCATTAGTGGTTATGAAGAAGGTTACTACGAAGGTTGACATTGGCAAAATTGTTGCATAGGTTGGAAGAACGGTAAGGCTTGGACATTCTCTAGTTAATTCTTGGAGAAGCAAGTGTTGGGTAAGAATGTATATACAATAAATTCTATAAGGTGTGTGTGTGTGTGTGCGTGTGTGTGTGTGTGTGTGTGTGTGTGTGTGTGTGTGTGTGTGTGTGTGTGTGTGTGTGTGTGTGTGAGAGAGAGAGAGAGAGAGAGAGAGAGAGAGAGAGAGAGAGAGAGAGAGAGAGAGAGAGAGAGAGAGAGAGAGAGGATGGGGGGTTGAATAGATTGTTCCCTTTAAAACAACTCAATTCAAAAACGTTTTCTTTTTACAAAATCAGAGTTAAAACATGAAAGAAAAAGATAATGAACGGAAGAAAAATGTTGTAAATGGTTTCAATAGCGTGTTTTTCCTCAATATCATAAAACCAAGAGTTCAAATGAAATCATTAACTAAAGTATACTTGAAGTTGTTTTAATAAGAAAGTTAAATTCAGACACTTAGGATCAATACAAACTTAACTCAATAGACCAGTATTCGTCAAACTTAAATACATCAGAGACCTACACTTATATATGATAAAACACTATAAATAAGATCTAACTCTACATGACATATTAATGATGAACTTATACCTAACATACATGAAATGATGTAGAAAATCAAAGAGACAATGATAGGAAAATCTACACATGATATATAGTGGTTCGACAATAGATCCTCACTATGCCTACTCCACTCTTTGATAATTTTCATCATCGGAACAATAACGTCTTTCATTGTGTTAAAAGTTAAAGATGCATGTATTTTGGTACAATAAATTATTATCAAACTAAACATTAACAACCTAATTCTTTAACCAACATAAATCTAAAATAAAAAATCATCATGTTGATGCAAATTACTGAACTGCTAACATTCAAGACCTTCAATGATCTTAAGCCACAAATCTTGATAGACCCAATAACCTGCTCCAAGCTTCAATTCTGCAACATCCTTTACTTGGATCTGACAAATACTTGTCCGAGGGATTATTTTATCACTGAATGAGGATAACTCCCAAATATGTTATGCAAAAACCTTTATTGGGATCCACCAGAGTCTTCTTTGGAGTATAAAGAAAAACTTTTCTCTTGTTTGATGAGCACTAACCAATAATGAACAAGAAACGGTTCTTTATCCTAATACAAATAGCAAAATTTTACACAAAAAATATTAGATTTCCTAGTATCCAAAGAATCTCTTACAACACAGTTGTATAATACCCACACTCTCAACATTCTATGAGTTTTCTCACAAGGTTGAATTTCAGAGATAGTTTGTTGGTGAAAGAAGAAATATTTCCATGATTTCTCTCGAATTTTTTGACAGAGAAAGATTGGGTTTAGATGAATTTTTTGGGGTTCCAAAACAAAAACATTCAATAGCTTATCAAGATGTTTCTCTCAATTGTGATCACCATCCATTATTGTGGCATCATCTCAATTAGAAACTCATCAATCTTCAATAAGTTATATTAGATGTTTTAAATAGGTGATAAAGGTAAGGCTCAAAAAGAAAGGAAAGAAACAACGAGATTGAGTCAAATTGTGATTTAAATCAAAGAAATAATGAAGGAAATCAAAGGCAGTGAAATAAGAAGTTTGTTGCTAGCGATTAGAATCAATCATGGATGTGTGAATAGAGCCAAACAACGTGTGATTCAAATCACATTTAGTTTTGAAGAAGTTTGGATGACTTTGATTCGAGTCACCAATCATATGATTTAAGTCAAGAAGTATTGTGATTCGAGTCACAAACTTCTCTAATTCAAATCACACTAGTAGAGGCAAACTCTTTATTTCTAAGTAAGTTTTGACTCAAATCACAATGTGTGATTCAAATAAAGACTTCCAAAAACCTTGATTTCAGACTTCTAACTTGAGATTAGTGTAAAAAGGCTATAACACATTTATATGGACTCAACTCTTATAAATTAAATGGAAATGTGATTTATGGTACATATCTAACAAACGAGACATGATATTACATGTAAATTACAAACAATTGAAACAAGCGCGATAAATCAAGCTACAACCACACATAAAGTAAATGATTGACATGACATCAAAATAATGATACCGATTGCAATGCAATTTCAACAAGATCTTCTTACGCATGAGGAGACAAAAAGGTCACGAAGATTAGATAATTATTTACTAGAGAATGAGGTGGAGCTTTATTAGCCTTAGTGACTGTCATAAAGGCGTGGCGTTGAGCAAAAAATTTGGTAACCTTCGAGGTCACAATGACTTCAAGAGTTCGTTATTTGAGAGTGAGGTCATTAGTCTGAGAGCAGAAGATCGATGATTTGTGAGAAGAAGACCAGTGATCTATCTTTGGTGAAAAGACAATGGTTTTCGTGAAAAAACAATAGGAATCAATAGTTGCTCCCCATAAATGTCGTCAATGTTTCGTTTGTAAACTAGAAATATGTAGTAAAGTGGTAAGGATAAGCCTTAGTGTGATGGAGAAAGGATTGACATGCAAGGTTAACCCTACAACGTTCAAATCAGTCAATAAATAAAAACTAATATGTGAGTGATAATGAGTTGAATAGAATCTGGTATTTATATATAATCATTAAATATAGTCTTTATATATAATATGAGCGATTAAAACCATCCGTACGTCGTTGATGCCTTTTGCGGATGGATGTTCGATTGGATACCAATGATAAAATATGTGACGTAGGATATGACTGTATTTCTACAACAGAGATAAAAGTCCGTCTATTTGAAGTGTCTTCTCCTTCAACCTTTAGTATTCAACCTTGTTTTAAGCTTGTGACGGTTCAAATCAATTATCCAAACACAATTATGTGTTTTTATTCAACATATTATCCTATTATATCTATGTCTTATCCTAAGTATAAAATGAATTCATAAAATTTATTAATTAATTTATTTATAATACTAACCACTCAACTAAACTACAACAAACAAGAGAGTGTAACTGTCATAACCATGTTTTTGATTACCCAATCATTAATCCAAAACATTTTTCTAAAAAGAAAACACTCATCAAAATATTAATCAATCACACACACTCTCAAAACAAAAATCATGCACCCAAAAGAGAAATTATAGCCATTATTACAATTAAAAATACTCCCCAATAACTGCCGTAGAAAGAATAAGAAAACCCAAAGACTAAAAACACTGGAAATCCACATGGATGACCTGTCCCATTCCTTTTTCCCTTACAAAATGATCTGTAACATTCAACAATAAACAAAAAATTTATCAAAAAAGAAAATCAAAAATTAAAAACACGCCACGAAAAATCCGCAAAAGTAATAAAAAACCAAAACTAACGCTTAAATAAATAAATAAAAAATAAAAACGTCATGGCGCGTAACAAACTCTCACTTTTCCTATAAAACATATAACCCCTACTTTTTCTCCCTCAAATCTATCTCTCTATCGTTACAATTTCAGCATTCGTTCCTTTTTCATACATTTTCCCTCGATTCTCTCTCTATCGTCAAAACCCTTTCTACTATGTCTACCAAAATCATTCTTGTTACCGGCGGTGCCGGTTACATCGGCACCCACACCGTTCTTCAGCTTCTTCTCGCCGGTTACAAAGTCGTCGTCGTAGATAATCTCGATAATTCTTCCGCCAAATCCATCGACAGAGTCAGGTCTCTCGCCGGTAAATTCGCCGGTAACCTATCATTTCATAAGGTAAGAAACACACATTCTCGTTGTTCATCCTTTTTCAATTATATATTTTTTCGGTTGTAGTGTCCTTTATGATTTGATTGCTATTTTTTATTTTTCTGAATACGGTGACTTCGATTTTGATTTTTAATTATAAATTGTTTAATTCACGGCGTTGGATTTTAGTGATTTTAGTGGTTTTAGTGATTTTAGTGATTTTGGTGATTTTGTGATTCGGTAATTTTTTTTTCCGGTGGACCCAACCAGAGAGGTAAAAGTGAAAGCTATGGTTTATGTATATTTTGCTGCGGTGTAGTAAATATATAGACGGTGGAAGATTCAAGTTATGTATGTGTGTGTTTTTACAATTGGCCCGACAAGTACATAACATACTTTATGATGTGATATTTGGTTTGTTGGTTTGTTGCTACTAGATCCAATCTGGTTTTTTTTTGCTAGCTATTTTGGTTTTTCTAGTTTGGTTTACAACCTTATGCTATATTAGATTTATATGAGTTTACTAGAATTACCTTGTGTAGCGAATGTATCACGAAATTTATGTCAGAAGATAAGCTTATGCTTACCAAACAAGTACTAAGAGTTGTATTTTGTTAGGTTTTGTTATTAAGTGAATTTGTGTTTATGATTTAGAGTTTAAGACAACTTTGGGATTTAAAATGTTTCATACACACCAATTTCTTTAATCTTATGTACTTAGAAGGGGATAGCAAAATAAGAGCAATCATGTATATGTGAAAAAATAACTTAATAGTAAGTACTTAGGTAAAAATGAATCTAAATCAAATAGTGAGTGTAGTTGAATTATTTTGCAAGCTACTTGGTCGACTTCAAGTCCACGCATGCCACTACAGCTATGACGTATTGTCTGCTTTGGGTGTGAGAGCTCTCACGGCGGCTTTGTCCTTTAGAAAAGGTGTCTTGTTGGGTTGTGGGACTATTCTGGCCCGCCTGAAACAGTTTACGTAGTTTAGGTTTTATCTAATTTTATCTGCAATAGACATTGATAAAGTATTTCACCTTACATCATAGTTTTTTTCAGTTTGTTACCTATGTGAAATTGATGTTTGATAATGTAGACAATTAAGTTATTGTGATGTTGACAGACGTTTTTTCATTTTACTTTTTCATGCTGCAGTTTGACCTGCGGAACCGAGATGAATTGGAGAAGATTTTTTCTTCCACAAAGTAAGGATTGTGCAGAAGCATCTGTAGTTTTTCTTTTTGTACAATAGATTGCACATTTGTTAATGTTTCAAGTTCTCTTATAACTTCACTCGATCACTGGTTTATTAATGCTTCATATATATGTGCATCTTTTCCTTCAGGTTTGATGCGGTCATACATTTTGCTGGCCTAAAGGCAGTAGGTGAAAGTGTGCTGAAACCAATGGTGTACTATAACAACAACTTGATTGGGACAATTGTTCTATTTGAAGTCATGGCCGCCCACGGATGCAAGAAGGTAACTCCATTTTAGTATCTTGAATGATTTGGGTCATTATAAATTAAGTAATTGTAGTGGTAAATTTTCAAGCCATCAGTTTGCAATTGTTTGTTGAAAAGATTCAATAGAAGCTTTATCATAAGTTATAAATATAATCTAGACATTTCTTCTTGTAGTACCGTGATAATACTGCTACCTGAAAGTGTATTGTGAGATTGGTTGCTGCTATCTGATTATTTAACACGATTCTGTATTTCTTGAATGTTTTCAGCTTGTGTTCTCCTCTTCGGCCACTGTATATGGTTGGCCGAAAAAAGTCCCTTGTACCGAAGAGTTCCCTTTATCCGCAGTAAACCCGTATGGACGAACCAAGGTATGAGTAGGAAACTGTCTAGGGTCAGAATCTTGAGTGGGGATGATGAAACTATATTCCCTTTTCAATCTTGTTTATGTTTGTTGTATATTACATATGCGTTGATGTATCCTATCAGAATCTAGCAATGAGATATCTAACAAGAGCTTTTTCTTTTTCCAGCTTTATGTCGAAGAAATTTGTCGTGATATCTACCATGCAGATTCAGAATGGAAAATAACACTGTTGAGATACTTCAACCCAGTTGGTGCTCATCCTAGTGGTCATATTGGTGAGGATCCTCGCGGAATTCCTAACAACCTCATGCCGTTTGTTCAGCAAGTTGCAGTTGGCAGACGCTCCGCATTGACAGTTTTTGGAACAGATTATAGTACAATTGATGGAACTGGAGTATGTTCTCTTTGTTTTTGACTTGTTTTACTCAAAATTTTACTTGGAAAGTTGCATACTAAGCTCACACTTCGATTTGGATTAATTTGATGATGATGTACGAATGTTACATTGTGAGGAACCACAATCACAGTTAGTCCATTCATACATGCATAATTCCCCATCAAACCAACCCCTCTTTCCCTCATTGGATCTATTTTATCTTTTCCCATTTCTTAAGATATGCCTTTGATTTCTTTTGGGGATCTTACAACATGCCTTTGATTTCTTTTGGGGATCTTACATGATAAGTCTTTTCTTTTTCTCAGGTTCGTGATTATATTCATGTTGTTGATTTAGCAGATGGGCACATTGCTGCATTGCGTAAACTAGATGATCCTAAAACAGGTACTATTCAGCCCATTCATTTTGGTAGACTCCATGGGAATAGCAACTGGTTGTGAATTCACATTGGATTCTTATAATCACTGATATTTTTTTCTTCTTTGACACGTTTTTGGATTTTCTGTAAAATATGTTGTTTTGTTAAAGCTTTCATGTCTGCATATACAGGTTGTGAGGTTTTCAACTTGGGAACAGGAAAGGGAACATCAGTCTTCGAGATGGTTACAGCTTTTGAAAAGGCCTCTGGAAAGGTAACTGCGCACTATCCTTTAGCTTGTGCTATCCTTTGCTTATCCAAAAACGCATAAGCTAGTAAAAAAAGTATAAGCTCGTGATGAAGAACTGTTAATAAACGTGTTTATTTTAGTTATATGAGTTTATAAGCATCCACTATAAGATCAAAAATTTGTTTTGCCAAACAGCGTCTATGATATCCAAGTTGTTGTACAAGACTAATTAATCAATACAATTTTTTTTCTGTTTAGAAAATTCCAGTTGTAAAAGCTGGTCGGAGACCTGGAGATGCCGAAACTGTTTATGGATCAACATCAAAAGCAGAAAAAGAACTAAACTGGAAGTAAGTATGATTTGCTCAAACCAATAATTTTGTGATATTTAACTGTTCTTAAAGCACACCTCTTTGTTATTTTTTTATTTCTTCAAATTTGTCAGATACTATATTCGGAATATTTTCTTCTTTCGACAAGAAATTTGTGCAAGTTTTCACAAATTTTTTCTCCTTTTGCAGAGCTAAATATGGCATCGATGATATGTGCCGTGATCAATGGAACTGGGCTAGCAAAAACCCTTATGGCTATGGTGAATCAACAGAATGAAAATTCTTTCAAATCAATCCATTTGACATTGATCATTTATTTATATTTATACAAAATAAGTGCTACTACAAGTTTAGTTTTCTCTAGAGTTTTTCTTGAGTGATTCTAAGATGGAAATAACTTTTGTAATTATGAATTTTAATTATAATTACGAGGCAAATAAGTAGTAGTACTACTGCTATAAGTAATGATTCTTTAGGTTCCAATTTACATGTGTTATCAAATGGATTCTCCCATTTTAGAGCTAGATTACTTACCGATATAATTTTACTTAATATGTTTTGTTTTTTCTCCTATTTTTGCTTCGAGTTGCAAGTATATACAATATATTTTAACTTTTCAATAAATAATTATGTTTAAAAATCAATGATAATGTTTAAACAATTCGTTAGCAAGACACGGCAAAGTTTGAACTATAGTTTTTTTGAAACCCAGCATAGGAATGCAGTACTAATATTACTGATCAATTCACCACTTATTCTAAACACTAGCTTCTAGCCCATGAATTCAATTCCACCCAATGTTCTTTCATATTCACATAAAATAAAATTACTCTTCTTTAAACTAATAGTATCATGTAAAAAAACTAGAGAAAATTTTACCTGGAGATAATTTCCCACAAGGTGTTTTGTGAACTTGGACTAAAAAAGATAACTTAAAATTAAATATCAAGGTAAATACAAATTAATGCAAACGGATTGATTAAATGACCAATATTGTCGGTTTAAAATAAATATTGATTTAAAATGAATGTTATTCTATTTTTTTATATAAAATATATATTAAAGTTAATTTAATAAAAGTACAATGTTTTATGATATTATCATTATATTTTTTAAATTGTGTATAAAAAGTTTTAATCCACAATCATAACGGAAAAAATGTTATTCTTAATGACATTAATAAATAGGATACACATGGACGGATGAATTGTTAATAGGTTAACTCTACTCAACTTTTTTTTAATGAATAGATAAGAATTTACCTGTTTTAAAGTTTTTGCTATTAGATTTGATGTTTTCATCCTTTCTTTTCTTTCACCGTAAAAGGATTGGGGTTTTATCCTTATGCAGGATACTAACAAGAGATTTACTATTGCACCATAAAAAGTAAAGACTTTGCATATTTGTACTGATCCTAGTAAACACTTTGGAAGCAAACATCTTCTTGATCTAAACTTAATCTTCTGCAACCCTCTTTTCATTCTTTAAGGGTATGTTCCACATTTATGAAAATTCAAAAGTTTTGAAGATGGATTTTCAGACGTATTTAAAATTATACAAATTTGTCTTTTTAATATTCACTTCATTTTTAGTAATGTTATTGGGGTGTATTCGAAAATGTATCTATAAAATACCCTATCTACTTAATTGTTTTATTTTTATTTATTAAATTTGATATTTTTTAGGCACACATATTTTACGTCATTTTAGACCAACATATTTTAGGTAATTTTAGGCTATGAATTAGAAGGAAAATGCACACATTAATTGATTCAAATATAATACACAATTATGAAAAAAAATCATACAATTATCAAAATGTATTGACCATATATAAGTTGTTTTGAAAATACAAAACAATACAACCAAATAAAATCCTACTGGACATGTCTAATCTCCCGCATTCTCCTTCGCCTATACAGCAAGGCATTTCATGCCTCGACAATCATACCTTATACGAGGCCCAAGTGGGGACTATCATCCTTAAAATTCTTGCCTTTATGTTTGATATCCCCATCTCCACAATACGCCGACAAACCACAAACACGTCCTCAGTGTGGTCATCTCTAATTTTAAGTACCTTCTGATTAGCTGACCTTGGTGGTCTTCCAAGAGCGTCTGGTGTCATGATAGGGTGTGATACGCTATATAGATAATGTCATTTATCTGTCACCATAAGCCCATTGTAAAGGAGTTGGCACATGTGATACTCTTCTAGTATCAGATGACTCTCAAAATCCTCCAATATCACATCAAATTATTTGTGGCAGACGATGGGAGGAGCAGACTCTGAGAGGGTCTTATAATATTATGCAAATATCCAAATTGGCGCATCAGTTGCTCGGGTAGATAATGTCGTTTGGGAAGATAAGGATACATAAGAGATGACCTTGTCATCCATCCGGAGTATATAGAAATGGGGTCCAGCGGACGCGTCTCGCAATGACTTCTGTATGGGCAGAAAGCAATGTCATCTACTAGAGTACGATCAAGACATGCCCAAAATGGACCGATCACATTATTTCCTCTGTACGGCGTAAAGTCAACAACACGTGGCCAATCCTCAGTATAGGTAGGCATATTTTTCCACCCAGTGATGCAAGAAAATTGGTAGATGATTCGTCCATGAAATATGGTTCAGATAAAATATTAATAACAAGTGTAACAAAATAATTATGAAAATATTAGTAGCAGTAAATTACTGTAAGCAGCATGAAGTTAACTATAATTTGCTTTGTCTTCCAAAGAGAACTCTCTCCCAGCTTCTGTCGCTACACAAAAAATACACATAGTCGCCACCAAACTTTATTTATTTTGAAGAAAGAGAAAATATCGATAAACCCCCTAAAGGTGAAGAAAATGGTCTCGCAATCAAATTCGAGTTTGCAAGTCGGTTATGCAAGGGGAAGGTACTAGCACCCTTCACATCCGTTGTACTCAACGGGAATCATCTAGGTTGTCTAAGTGTGAATGAGTGTCATTTATCTAAAGGTTACTTGCTAAAGGAGAAAAAATAAGTTTTAAATTAGTGTGCTCGTCAAGGATTGAGTCCTTGTGCCTACGTAACAATGAGGAATCAAAGCTCCATAGTTCATAGTAAAAAATGATCGTGTGTTGGTTGATTTTACCTTGAAAAATGGTTTTGGAGTGATGCCCTAAGGCACAAAATAGTTTGATGAGTTGATGTAGTTTTAAGGGTTTTTGAGAAGAAATCTTTCTTGATTAGGATCGCACTAAAGACTATGCGTAGAGGTGAATATTTTATACTACCAAGCCAAGCTCCATTCTCACTCCTCTCCACCACTTAAGGCTTGTGGCGTGCAATCTCAATTGTATTTTAGAATATTTTTTAGTTTATTTAAGAAAATGGTTTAGGAAGACTTGGCGTTGAACCAAGTGTGAGATTATTTTAAAAGGTGATAGGTGGGAGAAGAAAGAGTAATGTGATGATTGCATGGACTATGGAGTTGATGGTGATGCCTAAGCGATCGACTTACGGGTGTGAAGGATGGAACCCTAAGGTGTGGTGAACTTCACTTAATGATTTTGAAAATGGCTTAACATTGAATCAAGCTTTATTTTGTCTTGTTTTTGAAATCGTTTTCTATTTTTTAAAATCTTTTTCTTAGCATGCAAGATCAAGTCTAAGGAGAATCAAAGAAGTAAAAGTACATCAAAAGGGAGAGGGGTACATGAAAAAGACAAGGGAATTTATGAGTAATTGCATTCCATATTGACATACCTCGAAAAATACGACCCTTCGCGATGGACGCGAAAAAAAGAAGCTCGAACAAAGTCGCCACCGAACTTTATTCATTCCAAGGAAGGAATGGGAAAATATCGATAAAACCTTTAAGATAAGAAAATGGTCATCGTAACCAAATTCTAGGTTCAGGAGTCGATTACGCAAGGAGAATGTATTAACACCCCTCACGTCCGTTGTACCCAACAAGAACCTCTTAATTCGATTTATGAGGAATGTTAGCTAAGGTTGTTTTCTTCTAAGGAAATAATACTAAAGGTATGAGAAAAAGAGTTTTTGTTTTCTAAGGGGAAATGAGTGATTTTTTATTAGGGTGCTCGCCAAGGATTAGAGCCCTTGTGCCTATGTATCTTACATTTGAAAAAAATGAAGAATCAGAACATCCGTAGTTTGTGAGACTATGGTTTGTTGGTTTGTTTTAGAGGTAACAATTGCTTAGATAACAAGAAAGACAACTCCTACCTAAACAGTTGAAGAGAAGAATCGAAGGCTCCACACCCCTCTTTTTTCACCTTTTAAAAAATAATGTTTAAGTATGGATTAAGTATTTTAATGAACAACGATTGCTTAGAACAACCGACAAAGGATCCTCGTATCCCAAGCACCCGGGAAAAGATATAGAAGGCTTTAGACCCTTTCTTTTTGTTTAGGTGATTATAAAAACTATTTGAATATTATTGAGTTAGAAGTTTTTTAGAGATGACAATTGTTTAGACAACAAGAAAGGCAACTCCTACCTAAACAATTGAAGAGAAGAATCGAAGGCTCTAAACCCCTCCCTTTTCATCTTTTAATAAATAATGTTTAAGTATAATTAAATGTTTTAATTTAACTTGAAGAAAATACTCGATGTTGATCGAGGTTTGAATTTGTATGCAAAAAGGTGTAAGGACTTGAACTAATAGAAAGTAGGTCCTAATGGGTTTAGGATAAGGTTTATGGGGATACACAAGACAATCGACTTACAAATAGCAATGAGACTTGATATGTGGATCAAGTATGCTTGAGAATAAGTTAATGGTTAATCCTATCGAATTTGCTTTTTAGGAAAAGAAATGCTTGACTGTTGGATCAACCTATTTGTTTTTATAGAAAATGGTTGATTTTATTCTTGTATTAAGACTACCCGAGCAGAGGCAAATACATAAGCATTACACTTTATGGGGAGTGGGATACATTTACTCAAACGGGGATATATCCAAATCATAACACAAGTAAAAATCATCACACACAAGCATGTAAACAAGCACATGAAATTCAAAATGAGAATCATTGCATGAGAGCCTAAAAGGAGCCTATAAGATTGATGGTGATCGTGAAAATAATCGACTTACAAGGTGTTTGAAATGATTTTATTCCATGTTTAAGTGATTTCTCCCTTACGCACTCTCTTTATTATATTCATACCATATGCACCCCTTATATTCTGTTAGGCTCTGATACCACATTGTCCGGGAGCCTTACATGCCATGAAACCCAGCTTTAACTGTATCATCCTCAAATAGCCAACCATA